ATAAAGAGTAATTGCCCTAAATTTTCTACTACTTCAAAAACTAGGGTGTAACTAACATCAGATAGAAGATGGGCTTGGCCCACTCTTTTTAATTCTCTTCATAAAACCTATTATTGATGAATTTACCAGCTAACCCTTCATTAAAAAAGGTAATTACATTCTCCCCTACTTAAAATAGCGTTCATCCTCAAACGAGTCTAGAACCATACCTGAAGTGTCAAATAGGTAAGGATACTTATTGTCACGCCTCGAGGCTACTCCCTTGACGTAACACGGGACCTAGGATCATGAGTGACCCCAAGCTAACCCTAAACTGGCATATCATAAGCATACTTAAAGATGTTACTGAAAATAGAAATACTGAGTGAAAGCTTAAACATGATATAAAAAGAAATGATGGGGAATACCCATTCTAAGTCTGAATATATAAACGACTGAGAGTTCAATAACAACTGAAAGATCAAATTCTAACTAAAACTAAATCTAAATATGTCTGAATAAAAGCCTCTAACTGACTAGAGATGCTGGGACATGTCCCTAACTAACTCTAGCAAAATTGAAACTAAAATGACTAAAAATGAAAGAAAACATGTCCATCGTCCTCGAAAAATGAGGACTCACCACTGATACTGCTGAACTGGAGATAAGGAACCGATCTATGCGTGATGTGAATGCTGAGGACCTGAACCTACATCATGAGAAGATGTAGCGCATAGTATTAAGATAACATGATGAAACTGAATATTGAGATATAACTGGTAACTTGGTCAATGCACTAGAATCTGACTGTGGGAGCTACTAATAATCGACATAAAACCACATGAGCTAAACGTGGAGTCTGATGTATCGCCCCATCGAGAGGACCCAATATACCTTGCCAGGGGTATAAAGGCATGACTGGCGTGATCATTAAATATGTTGCCAATATAGGGGACTTAACCTACAGGGGCACGTAGTTCTGGGACTATGAGGGTGACTTACCCTAGTCCACTCGGTATTTAACCTACTCCCAACTAGAATGTATAAAATACAACATAACTGCAATAAACTGGATAGCTCGAAATTATGTTATGCTAACTGAAAATACAACATTAAGTACTAATAATGAAACATTTGTAAAATGATGCATGTATATCTGTGTTAACTAACCTAGCAAGTGTAATTCATGAACTAAACGAATCTACACAACTAGGGTTCTGAATTTCATGCAAGAATTAAGCAACATAGTTACGAAAACGTAATATTCTGATTTAGATTAGTCTAACAACTAAATCACAACAAGAATCTGAAGTTCTAGAAACCCTAAGTCTAAACATAATGAAGGGAATCAAGAATCTGACTGAATTCTAGGGACCCAATGGGTAAAAGGAACCCCCTAGTGAAATCCCATATACATGGTGACGAATTTCACGGAGAAATCTTTCGATTTTGGGGTTGGAACCGGAGGAAACCTTGTTTCGTTCTTGGAGAGGGTTGGTCAACTTTTTCATTCCTTTTTCGTTCAACTTGGATGAATTTTGGAGAATGGGTTGGCTTGGGTAAAGTCTAATTAATTTACTAGGCTAAAACTGACCAAAACGACGTAGTTTAGGGGTTAAACGACATAGTTTAGGTGTCCAACGCATAGGGAATAGACCAAAATGACCCTGACTTAAAATCAGACGAGGCCACTAACGGACCATGGATTGACCGACGTCCGTCCTCATCAACCGTTGTTTGGATTCATAGGAGGGGTGCTGATGGTCTCGATCCACGGACCAGGACCACGACTCGTGGTCTGACCTACGGTCCGTAGGTCCGATCGTGGGTCGACCCTTAGCTGAATTTTCTAGAGTTTTTGGGGAGGGACTACAGGTGGCCACAAACCCCACCTACGGTCCGTAGGTGGCCTCGTTGGTGGCACCTGCAACTTCTGGAATTTCTGCATTTTTGTTTTCTAGAATACAGGGTGTTACACTTATCTCAGATGTCTGCCTCAGACTCCTAAGTAGCCTTCTCAATTGGATGAATGTGTCATAACACTTTGACTGAAGCTACCTTCTTCGATCTCAACTGACGCACTTGCCTATCAAGAATAGATATTAGACCTTTCTCATACGCCAAATTCTCATCAAGCTTCACCTCTTATAGTTGAATCGTATGGCCAACGTCATGAACATATTGTCTAAGCATGGACACATGAAATACCGGATGTATAATAAAAATTCTAGGAGGTAAAGCAAGTCGATACTGTAATGACTAGGTCAGTCATTTTTTTGTTTTTTGTGGAAATTACTATCTTTGCCCTCCCGATATTGACCCCGAGTCATTTTTGATTGATTTTGAAAAGTTGGTTTTAAACTTTGAATTATAAGTTGAGAATTTGGTAAGTTTTGAGTTTGAAAGGCTAAGTCGTTAAAAAAGTAGTTTTCGGTGTCTTTTGGAGTTTCAAGTGTCAGAATGGGATTCTATCGGTTCCATCAGTCCCAAAATGTGAAATTTGATATGTGAGAGTCGTCGGTTTTAGTTTCCAAGTGTTTTTGAGGATTTGAGGTCCTAAGTTGTGAAATTGTGGAATTTTAGTCTTTGAATTGACTTTGGTCAATTAAGGGTTCAGATGCTCGGATCGAGATTTCGAGAGTTCTATTGGATTTGGGGTATGATTTTAGGCCTTGGTGAGGTCTTGGTTGATTTTTCAGAGGTCCCACGTTTGTTTTAGCCTTTTGAGGCATTGAGTTAATTTTTTGTGGTTTTCACGGATGTTAGGTCAAGGAGACCTAAGATTCATGTTTTGACGGTTCCATTAAGTCTGAAGCATCGAGAATAATTATTTTCATATGTGGTTTGTGTTTACAGGGCTTCAAATGAATCCTAAGGGTCCTTTCGGTGATTTTTGAGTTCGCTGACTTTTCTATGTTGTAGTGCAACCCTCCGCATTTGCAGAGCTTGTGGCCCATTTGCGGTGAGGAGGGGTGAAAACCCCACATTCAGGGTTCTCGACCGCGTTCATGGGAGATCAAAGTGTTGACCTCCGCATTCACAGGAGACTTGTCATGTTTGCGGAGATCCAGTCATTTAAAATCCACGTTTGCGGGTAGGGGTTCACATTCATGGAGGATCCCTGGCAGTGTTAAGCCCAAATTTTGGGGTTTCTTCCCCATTTTTATTTTTTGAATAATTGAGAACTCGATAGAGGCAATTACAAGTGGGTTTTTCAAAATAAAATTATTGAGTAATGTTTATTAACTCTACATCTTCGATTACCCATTATTATTATTGAATTAATGAGTTTAAGTCATGATTTTGGGTTGACAATTTGGGAGTTCTTCATGAACTTGAGTTATTAAGTAAAAGTGAGTTATGAACAGACTTTCCCTAATGAGTTCCTAAAGTCTTGAGTAATGTTTTCAAGTATTATTTTTCCAAATTCAAACCTTAATTTTTGGAAATAGATATTTTGTTGAATGACCCAACTTTCAAGGGAATTGTTGTGGGTGTTGTCTTTTCCGAAAAGTGTTTGTGAATACTTTCTTATTAATAGATCGTGTGGCTCCGAAAGTGATTCAGAAGAGGAAGACTCAACTTTTAGAGTGATTGTTTATTGGTTTAAGGCAAGTAGCTTCGTAAACCTTGTATTCTGGTTTGAATTCATATGCTTCCTTTGTTGATTACGTGTTAAAATTAATGGGAATTAGTTAAAGGATTTAAATTATCCACTAGCTATATCTAAATGAATAAAAAGGGGTTGAAATGAAAAGGGCTATGTGTGATGATGTGAATTGCCTTAATGTAACCCTTATGGATTGATTAATGAAATGCTTGAAAGCATGAATGTGGACTTCTATTATGCAAATTGTTGTCTCTTCTATGTGGTGTGATATTGTTTGTGTACTTTGATCATTGAACACCGAGATGAGACATGTGATGAGTTATTATGTCGAGGTCTTTACCAGCGAGTGTTATTAGGCCGAGGTCTTTGCCGGCGACTGTTATAAGCTGATGGGAAATGGTTCTCTCTAGTGATGATCATTTTGACTTGATACACTTGATGCTTATGAGTGACTTACTTGTGAATTGTAATTGATGTGTTTGTTATGTGCGACTAAACTACTTGTCATTGAGATTGACTTATTTGATTTGTTAGATTGTTGATTTGTGAAGGTTGAAATGTGAATATTGGATATGTGAGCCGTGTATATAAGAATTGCTAGGTTGGGCTGATTTCTGTGCAAGTTGTAGTTTTAAGAGGTTCGGTTGGAGTGTAAGGGGTATTTGATTTCTAGCTAGTTGTTTTGTTTAGTAGGTTGCTGATCCGAACCGTAAAGCTACCCAAATCTTACAATTTGGTGGGCAATTTATTTTGGATTCAGGAGTTGCACTCTTCAGTAAGTGCTACAGTTTCATATTCAATCATCCTCCTCTTGTTTGCCACGATCTCTTTCACACACTTCGCATACCTGGGTATACCTTGCTAAACATCTACCAATGGCAAATTAATATGAACTTGCTTTAAAAGAGAGAGAAACTTACTGAAACATTCGTCCCCTTTCTGTTTTTTAAACTTTTGAGGAAATGGTGGAGGTGGTTTCACTATTGGTTGCAATCTTTCTTCCTGTGCAATAGTCTCACTCTCCTTGGGTTTACTCTCTTTGCTAGCATTTTCCACATTTTGTTTCTTTGGAGCCAACTCCTCCAACTGCAACCCGCTGTGTGTACCTACCACATTCGCTTGCTTGGGATTATGATCAGTGTTTCATGGCAAACCTCCTTGAGGTCGTGAGTTCTGGGCACTAGCAAACTTCCCAAATTGTTTCTCCAAGTTCTGGGTAGCTAACTGATTATTTCTAACATCAGCAGCTAACTGAGCTTGATCAACAATGATCTTCTTCAGCATCTCCGCCATGCTCATGTTACTTTTCTAATTGTTGGGTTGCTTCTGTTAGGCCTATTGTTGGTACCCATATGCATTCCCCCTGGGGTCTATATTGATTTTGGCCTTGGGACTGATTTTGGTTTCCTCCTCAGAAAAAATTCGAATGATTCTGCCAACTGGGATTATAAGAATTCCCATACTTCTGATGACCTCCTCCACGTTGTGCATTTTCTACAAAATTTGCAGAATCTGGGTTTGCACCACATACCTCTGCATTGTGATCTCCTCCTCCGCAAATTTCACACCATGTGGGTGGTTGTTGGACTGCATTCACCTGAGTTGGTTGTTGTCCCAGCGATAGGTTGTTGAAGTGAGTGTTCATCATGTTCTGCATTGCAACAATTTGTGCAGTTAATGCACTCACTGCATCTACCTCCAACATTCCAACAGTTTTCTGTATCACGGGTTTAGCTCCTCCTCCATTCCACTCGGGGTTCCCTTGTGAAATCTTGTTCAACAGGGTGAACAACTCAACATAAGTCTTCTCCAAAGCTTGTCCACCTGCAGCTGAATCAAGTAAAATCTTGGTGTTAGGCTCTAATCCTTCAATGAAGGTATGGACCAACACCTCGTTAGCCTGATGATGGTGCGGACAACTCAACAACTTCAATTTGAATCTGTCCCAAGCCTGGTACAAGTTCTCTCCTCCTTTCTGTCGGAAGCTGAGTATGCCACTCCTTAGCTTAGCTGTTTTCCTAGATGGGAAAAATCTAATAAAGAACTTCTGTGAAAGATTGTCCCATGAGGTAATGGAATTAGCGAGCTCAGAATTCAACCATCTTTTTGCTTACCCTAGCACAGAAAAGGGAAATAGTGTGAGCCTCACATAATCTACGTTCACTCCAGCTGGAGTGTAAGTGTTACTGATCTTGAGGAAATTCTGGATATGAACTTGTTGATCCTCATGCGATAAACTAGTGAACTGTCCATTTGTGTGCAATAGATGCACCATACTCTGCTTCAGTTCAAATCTTCCACCAGCTTCAAGTTTCTGAATGCATGAAGTCACACTGGTGGTACGTGGGATTGCCACCTCTCTCACTTTCATCTCAGCCATCAGTACAAGTTCTTCTCGCTCAACTCTTGCTACAAGAATTCTGGGTTCACTAGCAAAAAGAGTGACTGGGTAAGTGAGTCATCTTTTCCTTCTCCGGTAATGAACAAATCTTTTTGGTTCAGCTAGAGGCTCTATCAAGTCCTGATCGTCTTCCGGTTTGAGAATTCAACACAACGTGCAAAATGAATAGCTAAGATCAAGTTATCAACACTTGCTTTTTAACTTCAGAAATTATACTAATCAAATGGTTCCTAATTCTAAAGTCCCCAACAGCGGCACCAAAAACTTGTTACGCCTAGTGGCACACGCAAGTGTACGTGGTCGTTCAAGTATTAAAGTAGCTCTTATTAAGAGTTGGGTATCGTACCCACAGAGACTTCCAATTAATATAATTTGATTTTTCCAATACTTTCTATTAAATACAAGTGCTATCAAGGTTAAAAGAGTGATTGATTTTATAATCTAAAATTTAAGTAAAATCTAAACAAAAGCGATTCAATTTCTAAAGGGTTTGAACAATGTTTGGGTAAAGTCAACTATAGCTCACATCAGGAATTATGCACAGTATCTTGTAAACTAGATATTCATCAACTATCTAATCAATGATCACAGGGTTAAATATATGACTATGGTATCCCAACCTCTAATCGCCTACAATAAATGGCAGCCTAACTACATCGTTGAGCGGGGATATGTTAGACCAATTGCCGAGCATTACGATTTCTTCCTGTATAATGACCAAGCAAGGTCTCTAGGTACATACCTATCCTAGAAACAAATTAATTCTAATTCTTAAGAGAAAATCATGCTCCTCATGCCCCATGTTCTATCCTCTTATTCCTCTCTCGAGTTCAATTCAGACAATATGTTTATTTCAATGGTGATCAAGCATGAAATATGAAAAACAAGAACATAAGAGAGATTCATATGATAGTTAATGTCAATCCATGAAACTTCAATAATTTACAATCATCTTGTAGCCACAGCCCTAGAACTAGGGAAATTAGCTACTCATAATAGGAATTTCGATCAAGCAAAGTTCAAATATCATAAATAGATCAAAAGTAGAAGAGTTTAGGAATGAACCCTAAAAACAGATGAAATAGCTCTCCAAATCGTCGTTCTTCAAAAGCCAAGAAAAGAATAATTAATAATATAAAATATTAGTCTATTTATAGTTAAGTCGAAACGGCAAAATTTGGCATTTTGGGGCGTGACACGGAGGAGTTGTTAAACTCCACTTCGAGGACTTCTTCTCTTCTCCACGACACAGGTTTGTCACGGACCATTTTGTCCCAAATTGTTAATTCACGCAAATTCATCAATCAGGACACGGACCACTATGTTTCACTTTCCTTTCTCAAACCAAAGATAAAATCCCTCTCTGGATCCTTCTCGATATTCATTTCTTCATTCTTCTTTTTTGCTTCTTTTCAACTTGGATCCTTTCGTGTTTCCCAATGCCCATTTCAGTGCTCGTTTCTTCATTTAAGCTCACCTACACAACTAATCATGTTGGTTATTATATATGCAATCGAAAGACTCAACACGACTATAAATTAACATAAAATGATTCCAAACTTAACCACAATGCGGGTGTTATTTGGTTCCTAGGCATATAAATACACATAAGATCAGTTGTTTGCTGGGTATTATGTTGTTGATACTCACCCTTGCTTCTACACTTATGTAGCATCTGATCCCGGACGTGTGTGATATTTTTTCCTTCTATTGATCTCGAGGCTCGTCAAGGACTTGAAGAGGTAGTTGTTTGTCATTCGGTGGACCCATTTTTTCCTTTTCTTACACTTTGTTCTATTTGAGAAACGAAGATTGAGACTTATATTTATTTCTTAATTCTGTACTTATGTATTTAGTGGCTTGTACACGTGTCAACCCGATTTTTGAGGTTTTAGTAAAATAACAAGTTGTTCGCTTTATCTTGTTCTTGTTTTTACTATTTTCTTCTTTTCTTTCATGTTTGTTGGGTTGAGGCTGACTTGTCTTGGTGGAAAAGTCAGGTGCCATCACGTCTATTTTTGAGTCATGACAAAATGGTATCAGAACCCTAGGTTCATAGGTCTCACGTGTGTACAAGCCTAGTATAAGTAGAGTCTTAAGGATCGGTATAGAGACATCTGTATTTATCTTCCAGATGCTACAAAGATTAATAGGAAAGTTCTTTTTATTCATCCTTTCTAATCGTGTGTGGTTATCTTCACTAGTGTTGAGTTGTCACGTCTTGTTTTGGCAGATGTCGAGGACCCGAGCTTATATTTCTGGAGGTTATGGGGAGGCAGTCCCCGAGGTTGTTGTGCATGCCCCAGCTAGGAGTAGAGGTAGGGCCGAGCTAGAGGTAGTTTTCATGGATTAGCCCCGGCTAGAGGTCGTTCTCGCAAGGCGACACCAGCCAGAGGTAGAGCTAGAGAAGCTTCTCTTGAGCCATATGTTGATGTTAATAAGGATCAAGTTCCTTCCAAGTTTGGAGCTCTGTTATTTCAGGAGACTTTGTTGAGGATTTTTTGTGTGTTAAGGAACCTTTCTCTCGGGGCGCAGACCCCAACAACAAACTCCAGGCGTTCATGTTTAGGTAGGCCAACCACCCGTGATTCCTACACTGGATGTGGGTGCAAAGTTTGCTCTTGAGGTTATCTTGACAGCGGTTGATCAACAGTGTTATGAGAGGTTAGAAGATGAAACCACCCAAGTTTCAGGGTGGTAAGAGCGGGGATGCTCATGAGTACTTGGCTTTGTGCTATGAGATTCTTGAGGTTATAGGTATGGTGGATGCTCGTGGTGTTCGATTTGTCGCCCTTCAGCTTTGTGGTCGCGCCAAAAAGTGGTGGAGGACTTTTATGAGGTCTAGACTAGTTGGATATCCTCCGGCAGAATGGGATGTGTTTTCTAGTGCTCTCTAGGACCACTTCATTTTGTGGAGCATGAGAGAGGAGAGTCGTCTGATATTTGAGAGCTTGGTTCAAGGCAGTTTGTCTGCGACTGAATATGAGGCCCATTTTGTGAGCTTTCTAGGACTTCTACGACTATTGTGCCGGATGAGGCAGAGAGAGTTCATAGATTTGTGAGAGGGTTGACTTTCTCCGTCAAATCTTATGTGTTCAGGGAAGCTAGAGAGAGGGCTTCTTTTGAGTCCATTGTGAGCACCACCAAGAAGGCGGAGTTGATGTTTTTATAGGAGTTTGGGGAGCCCAAGAAGGCCAGTACTTCTGGTGCCTCATCTGGGTGTAGAGGTCCACATAGAGATAGTGGATCCTTCTAGTGTCGTGGGCCGGTTAATACTTTTATGCCAGCAGCTAAGAGTGGACAATCAACCCAAGGATCCTCTAGTTCTGGCCGAGGTGGCCATGGTAATTCGTATGGTTCACAACAACAGTTATCTGTGTTGAGATCTTGTTTTACTTGTAGGGATTAAGGTCATATAATGTAACAGTGTCCTCTACAGACTCATTCAGTACCTCTAAGTTCTTATTCAACTACTCCAGCTAGGGATTTAGCATCTCCAAGTAAAGGTCGAGGCAAAGCTCAATCTGGTAGATGTGGCAGGACTATTGTAGGAGTACTCTATCTCCACAGGGTGGAGGTAGAGGTTCTACTCAGACTATAGGCGGCCGACATGACCAGTGTTATGATTTTCCAGAAAGGCCTGAGGTTGAGACTTCTAATATTGTGATCACAAGTATCGTCTCAGTTTGCCATCGACCTGTGTCTATATTGTTTTATCGTAGATCTACTTTCTCATATGTTTCTACCTATTTTGTTGTTGGGTTTGATATGTTGTTTGATTGCATGCATGTGCTAGTGGTGGATCTAGTGTATCGATCATGTCTTGGTTTTTTGGTCGGGTATGATACTTGGGTATACCTATTCATTTTAGGAATGGTAGACTTTTATATTAACTTAGGTATGGATTGGCTTTCTCCGCATCATGTTATTATTGATTGTTATGCTAAGATTATGACCTTAGCGATGTCGGGTGTCCCGAAAGTTGAGTGGACTGGTGCTAGTGGTTCTTACCCTAGCAAGGTTATCTCTTTTATTAGAGCTCAAAGATTGGTTGATAGAGGGTGTTTGTCCTACTTGGATTTCATTCGAGATACTAGTGTTAAGCTACCTCCCATGGATTATGTGCCCCTGCTTCAAGAGTTTGTAGACGTTTTCCCTACTAATCTTCCAGGTGTTCCTTCGAATAGGAATATTTACTTTGTTATTGACTTGAAGCTGGGCACCAAGTCCATTTATATTCATCATTATTGTATGACTCCAGCTGAGTCGAAGAATTAAGGGATCATATGCAGGATTTTTGAGTAATGGGTTCATTCGCCCTAGTACCTCTCCATGAAATGCTCCTATGTTCTTTGTGAGGAAAAAAAATGGATCCACTTAAGATGTTTATTGATTATCTACATTTGAACAAAGTGAAAGTGAAGAATAAGTATCATTTTCCTCGTATTGATAATTTGTTTAATCAGATTTAGGGTGCATCTCTGTTTTCTAAGATTGATTTGAGATTTAGTTATCATCAGCTGAAGTTAGGGCATCGCATATCCCTAAGACAACTATCAGGACTCGTTATAGTCATTATGAGTTTCTTGTGATGTCGTTAAGTTTGACTAATGCCCCCGCAACGTTCATAGAGTTGATGAACGGGGTGTTTTAGCCTTATTTGGATTCTTTTGTGATAGTGTTCCTTGATGACATCTTGATGTACTCCAAGACTGAGGAGGAACACGATCAACATTTGATGAATATACTCCAGAGATTGAAGAAAGATAAACTTTATGCCTAGTTCTAGAAGTAAGAGTTTTGGCTTGAATACATGGAATTTTTGGGACACGTGGTGTCCAATGAGGGTATTCGGGTTGATCCAACCAAGATTGAGGCAGTGATGGGTTAGACCAGACCTATATCGATAAATGAGATCCGGATTTTAGTGGGACTTGCGGGCTATTACAGATAATTTGTGCAGAGCTTCTCAACTATTGCATCACACTTGACTAGATTGACTCATCATAGTGTGAGTTTTTAGTGTACTGACGAGTGTGAGGATAGCTTTATAAAGCTCAAGACCTCATTGGTGTCGACTCTTGCTTAGACTTTACCTGAGGAGGGTGTGGATTTCACCGTTTATTGTGATGCTTGTGGAGTCGGGTTAGGCGTTGTTTTGATGCAGAAGGGTAAGGTGATTTCCTATGCTTCTAGTAGTTGAAGTCCCATGAGAGAAACTATCGCACCCATGATTTAGAGTTGGCAGTCGTAGTGTTTGTGCTTTAGATATGGCGATAATATTTGTACGGGGTTTAGTGTGAGATCTTCAAGGACCATCGGAGTCTTCAGTACATTTTCACTCAGGGAGATCTGAACTTGAGGTAGAGCAGATGGCTTAATCTATTGAAATACTATGACATCATCATCTCTAGGGAAGGAAAATATGGTGGTCGATGCTTTAAGTACGAAGATTTCTAGCATGGGGAGTTTTTCCCCTATAAGTGTGGAGGAGAGACCATTGGCTAGATATGTTGAGAGGTTAGCCACCAGTCTCGTCCGATTATAATATTTGATGATACATGTGGTTTGATTGCTTTTATTGAGGTTTGTTATTCCTTAGTTTAGCAGATTCGTGAGCGTCAGTTTGATGATAAGAAACTGTCTCACTCGAGACAAGGTAATGAGAGGGGAATCCAAAGAGGTTTCCCTTTATTCTTAAGGTGTCTTACAGGTTCGAGGTAGGATTTGTGTGCCCAAGGTGGGGGAGTTGATTAGACTGATTCTTGAGGAGGCCCATTGTTCTCGATATTCCATTCACCCGGGTGCGGCGAATATCTATCATGACTTAAGCCAACATTATTGGTGGTGTGGCAAGAAGAGGGATATTGCAGTTTTTTTCGAGGTGTTTGACTTGTGAACAAGTCAAGAATGAGCACCAAGGACCTAGAGGTATATCTGAGAGGATACATATTCCTACTTGGAAGTGGGAGTGGATCACTATGAACTTTGTTGAGGTACTACCTACCACCGCGGGTGTTTATGACTTCATTTAGGTGGTTGTTGATAGGTTGACCAAGTCCGCCCATTTAATCCCAATTCGAGTGAGGTATACGTTGGAAAGGTTAGTCGAGTTTTATATTAGTTAGATTGTGCGATTGTGTGGAGTCCCGGTTTCTATTGTCTCTGATCGAGGTTCATAATCACTTTCCATTTCTGGAAGGCTTTGCAACATAGTTTGGGTACCCAGTTAGATATGATTACAACCTTCTACACTTAGATAGATGTTCAGTCCGAGCGGATGATTCAGGTGTTGGAGGACATGCTTCGAGTTTGTGTGATTGTTTTTGGTAATAGATGAGATCAATATTTTCCCTTAGCAGAGTTCGCCTACAACAATAGTTATCATTCCAACATTTAGATGGACCCTTTTGAGGCATTGTATGGTAGACGGTGTAGATCTCCAATCGTATGGTTTGATTTAGATGAGATGGATTCATTAGATATAAACTTGCTTAGAGATGCTTTGGAATAGTTTCGTATCAACCAAGGTAGACTGTTGACAGCTTAGAGTCGACAAAAGAGTTATGCAGATCAGAGAGTTTGAACCCTAGTATTCATGGAGGGTGATCATGTTTGGCTCTGAGTGTCACCCATGAAGGGTGTGATGAGGTTCAAAAAAAAGGGTAAGCTTAGCCCTAGATTCATTGGACCCTTTGAGATTTTGAGTCATATGGGAGAGGTGGCATATACGTTGGCTTTGCCACCTAGCTTGTCAGTTGTGCATCCAGTGTTTCATATTTCCAAGCTTCGGAAGTACATGTCGGATGAGTCCCAAGTACTTTATCTTGATCTAGTTGAGTTGGGTACAAACTTATCTATTGAGGATGAGCCTATAGCCATTTTGGATATGAATGTCCAAAAGCTTAGGACCAAAGATATTGTTTTAGTGAAAGTGCAGTGGAAGCGTCGTTCAATTGGTGAGGCGACTTGGGAGACAAAGTCTGATATGCGTGCCAAATATCCTCATCTTTTCGAAGATCTGGGTACTTTCTTTTGCCTTATGTTCGAGTACGAACATGGTTATTATATGTTGCGCCCCCTAAAACTAGATGACTGAGCTAGAGCCTAATGTGTAAACTAGTAGCCTAATTAGGGGTTAACACAAAGGTTAGAGTCAGAAAATAACCTTCGGTAGTCAATATAAGTGTTTTTGGGTGTAGACGTCAAGGTATGACCCCCCAAGGACCAACCAAAGGTCCTTGAGGAGGACCTTGAGATAGCCTACCCACGAAGGGCATCCACGATACGTGGATGGACCCACGCCCCGTAGGTGGGGGTCATGGGTCAAGGCTGGACCTCCCCTATTTTTCTAAGCTTCTGACCAGCACTCACGTTTGACCAGCACGGTCCGTGGACCCACCCACGGTCCGTGGGTCAGGTCTCGTGGATTAGGGCAATTTTTGGTTATCAGTTATTAAGTGGGGGGGGGGGTTAAGGGATGGACTTAGGATTAATTAATTAATTAAGTAGGGTCGTTTGATACTAATTAGACTACCTATATAAACCTAATTGACCTCTAAACTAAGGCAACTAATTCATTCTTTTCAAGACCCCAAAACAAACTCATTCCCTCCTAAATATTTCTCTCACTAAAACCTCCATTGGAGAAGAAGAAGAAGAAGTTGAAGTATAAGGTTCAAGAACTCATATTTCCTACCCAAATTCATGAGGAATCTTCATCTAAGGTATGGTAGTCTTTGATTCATGGAATGTTTTCTTCCATGGAGTCCTCAAACTTCCAATTTCAAAGTAGAAAATTCTCCAAAACCTAGGGTTTTCATTCCAAGTCATGGATTCTCTCTCAAAACGTTTTCAATAATTTATTTGTTTTATATTATGGTTTAATTATTGTTTAATGGTGTTTTTATGATAAATTCTCCCATTAATCCATGAAATTACCATAACCCTAATTTATGACTTTCAATATGGGTGAATTGTGTGGAATTGTACTAGTTGTAATTTTGTTCTTTAATCATATTATTATCCATGTTGAATGTAGTAACCCTAGGTTGGTTGGGAGAATGTGATCCTTGATCCAAGAAGGGTAAAACATGAGAATTATGCCAAAATTTAGGCTTCATGCATATATACTTTATGAACATGATTATAATCTAATTATTGTGTTAATTGAAAGTTCATTCTCATAAACACATAATGATCATGATGTGAAAGTTCTTCTCACTAAATGATGGTTCTAAGGTTGAAAGTACATTCTCACTGATTGAACCTATGAGCTATTATTATGAATTGTGTTGGGTGGAGGGTAAGACACTCCTTCATGCATGTAAATTCAATTCAAGACTAATTATGAAATTGTGAGAAGTAATGCTTAGCACCGAGTGGATATTGATTATGAGATAGATGCTCTCCCGTTAAGAAAGTCTAGGTTTCTAAGGTAAATCTCATGAGATGGAAGCTCCCCCGTTAAGTAAGGTTGGGTTTCTAGTAACAATCTTTGTATATCATAACTATGTGCCCTCATAGGTCTTTAGCTAGTGGATCCACCTAAAAGCTAATACATTTAGTTCTACCTTAGGCAAGTAGGACACCTCTTTTCAGTGTGGGGCATGACACCGAATTCCATGTTACGCTCACATGGTCTCTGTCGGTTAAAGCTTATTCCCAATGTAATTAAAAGATGAATTATTAACTATGGTTGCTCAAGGAGTTCTACTTAGCATGGGTAGGATTATGGGATATTACTTATGCATGGCACAAGTAGACTTTGAGAGTATTCATAGTAGGTTTCTATTATGATGTGATGACTTATATATTGAATATGCTCACGAATTATGCTTTCACTCTAATATTCATGATGATTTTCAAACTTGACAAAGTGCATGCTCTTCAACTAAATTGTCCCTTTTTAGCATATTTCCATGGTTTTGTCCATGGATATGATACTTGGTGCATTTTTGTACTAACCCATATTTCTTCTACATTTTTCCACAAAGTGTAGGTTCCGGCGTTTGAGGTGATTTTCCTTTTTGTTTAAGCTTGGATTGACTATTCTCCAAAGCTTGTGGTGAGTCCTCATGGATCCGAGGATGAGTGATGTTTTGTTGTTCCTTTCATTTCATTGTACTTCATTTCAGATTTCTATTGTAAGGGATGTGACCCTATTTTGAGACTTCGATTGTAATAGATGGCTAAATAAGACAATGTTTAGACTTCCGCTTTGCTTTTATGAAAATTTCCTTAGACTTTAAAAATGCCTTTTTTACTCTTTATTGTTCTTTACTTATGTGATGATGATGCTAAGTAGCTTACATGGTGCCTTTAGGGGCAGTGTGTGCGTTGGTACGTCTAGGGGGTACCCTTGGGTCTTAACAAACTTGGTAATTAGAGCAAAAGGTTTAGAATGATTCTAGGATGATGTCTCATAAGCCATGTCTAGTAGAGTCTTATTCATGAGTGTGAAGTGCGCCACATTTATGAGTGGGTGGCTATAAGATGTTTAGGAAATATCACTTCTTTCATTATTTTTAGAGTCGTGCCTTAGAATTTAACTCTATAAAAGTCCCTTTCATAACCCTTCTCTTGTGTCTTTAGGAAATGAATACACGAAGGGAGAACGCTAGAAGGGTGGAAGAGGAGAATGTGAATCAAGGAGTTCCTGACGGTAATCAAACTCCTCAAGGCAATCAAGCTCCGATTGATCCTCCAGCCATGACGGATGTGGAGATTAGGTCGGCTTTGCTAACATTGACCCAAGCCATGATGGTTCAAGCTCAAGTCGTGACAACTCAAGCCCAAGCCATGACGGCGCAAACCAATAGAGATATTGGGCCTAAAGTGAACACTAACATAAGTTCTATGGCTTCAAGATTGAGAGATTTTGCTAGGATGAATCCTCCCGAATTTCTCGGTTCCAAGGTGGAAGAGGATCCCTAAAGATTTATTGATGAGGTTTGCAAGATACTTGGTACCATGGGGGTGTCATTGGAAGAGAAGGTGGAGCTAGCCGCCTACCAACTAAAAGATGTAGCTCAAATTTGGTATGAACAATGGAAGGGTGAGAGGCCAATAAGAGCAAGTCCAATAGATTGGGATGTGTTCAAGGAAGCATTTCTTGATAGGTTATTTCCCCTAGAGTTGAGGGAACAAAAAATGCAAGAGTTCATAAACCTTCGACTAGGGTGGATGAGTGTGAAAGAGTATTCTCTCAAGTTCACCCAACAATCCAAGTATGCTCCAACCATGGTGGCGGACTTAAGGGCTAGAATGAATAAATTTGTGATGGGAGTATCCGAGTTGGTAGTTAATAAATGTCATTCGTCAATGCTTATACCAAGTAAGAATATTGCAAATCTTATGGTTCATGCCGAGAAAAAGCTCAAGAAAATGAATAGGGAGGCAAAGAGGGCTAGAACCGGTGATGGGAACTTCTCCAATGCTAAGCCCGATGGGCAAGGTCGACAAAGGTTCAAGCAAAAGTTTTCCAACCAAAGTTTTTCTAATGCTTCCCCAATGGTCAATAAGGTTAGGGTAGGTGCCTAACCCTAAAACCCAAGGAGGAAATAGTGGTGGGTCTTCTATGATCAAGCCTTATTGTGCTAAATGTGGTAAGAAACATGATGGTAAATGTTTAGCCAGTTTAGTTGTTTGTTATGGTTATGGTAAGAATGGCCATCAATTTAAAAATTGCCCAACACTTACGGCCAAGGGAAGAGAAGATAAGCAAACTCCTCCAAGCAATTCAAACTCCAATGTTCAAAAGCAAAACCATTTTTATACTCTTCGATCCCGAGAAGACCAAGAGAGCTCCCCGGATGTGGTGACTGGCATGTTACAAGTCTTTTCTATTGATGCATATACTTTGTTAGACCCCGGTGCCACTTTGTCCTTTGTGACACCTTTTGTGGCCATAAAATTTGAAATACTCCTCGAAGTGTTATTAAAGCCATTTTCGGTTTCTATCCCGATTGGTGAGTCTGTAGTGGCTACAAAAGTCTATATAAGTTTTCCCATTTCTTTGTCTCATAAAGTCACTTTGGTGGATTTAGTAGAGTTAGATATGTTGGACTTTGATGTGATTTTGGGTATGGATTGGTTGCATGCATGTTATGCATCTATAGATTGTAGAACTCGAGTGGTCAAATTCCAATTTTCAAATGAGCCAATTTTAGAGTGGAAAGGGGGGAATTCTATCCCTAGAGGTCAATTTGTTTCTTGTCTCAAAGCTAGGAAAATGATCTCCAAAGGGTGTATTTACTATATTGTTAGGGTGATGGATATGGAGTCCGAAATCCCTTCTCTAGAGTCGGTCCCCTGGTGAATGAATTTCTGAAAGTCTTTCCCGATGACTTGCCCGGCATTCCTCCCGAACGGGAAATAAATTTTGGCATTGATCTTTTGCCGGATACGCAACATATCTCCATTCCTCCTTATAGAATGGCTCCGGCCGAGTTGAAAGAGTTGAAAGTGCAATTGAAGGATTTTCTAAATAAGGGCTTTATTCGTCTGAGTATCTCTCCATGGGGTGCTCCAGTGTTGTTTGTTAGAAAGAAGGATGGATCTCTTAGAATGTGCATCGACTACCGCCAATTGAACAAAGTAACCATAAAGAATAAATATCCCCTTCCGAGAATCGATGACTTGTTTGACCAACTCCAAGGGGCTAGCTACTTCTCAAAAATTGACCTTCGTTCGGGCTACCACCAACTTAGGGTAAGAGGGGATGATATACCCAAGCCGGCTTACCGAACTAGGTATGGGCACTATGAATTCCTTGTGATGTCATTTGAACTAACTAATGCCCCGATGGCATTTATGGGTCTAATGAATAGGGTGTTTAAGCACTACCTTGATATGTTTATGATTGTGTTTATCGATGATATTTTCATCTATTCAAGGAGTGAGGGTGAAAATATGGACCATTCGAGGATTGTATTGCAAGTCCTTAAGTACCACCAATTATATGTGAAGTTTAGTAAATGTGAGTTTTGGTTGGGGTCTGTGGCCTTTATTAGTCATATTGTGTCAAGCAAGGGTATAGAGGTAGATCCTAAGAAGACGGATGTGGTCAAGAGTTGGCCAAGACCTCTAACTCCTACC